CAGGATTTATTTATTTATTTGAATGAGAAAAACCAAATGAAAAGAAATTTGCTTATATGTTATATTTTTTTAGGAACATTTCTATATATTTAATCAGGTTTTACCACCGAAATATTTGAGATTTGTACTAAAAAAGCCAATTCGGCCAATTATTCACTCTTCCTAACATATTTAAGATTCAAACTCTCTTCGTCAAAGATTTTAAAACAAAATAATTGTTCATAATTAATATTTTAAGAAGATTTGGAAAAAAAATTGTAATGTTTCTGTTTCTGGTACAAAGGGGGTGGGGGTGATAAATTCCAGACTCGGTTGGACTGGATTTTGGAGTAAATCTTCATTAGTTTCAATTCCGGGCTACCCGCACGACATCCATCCGGCAAAAAGCCTATCCGTCGAATTTTCTAATTAACATATGTGTGCTCCACTCAAGGGATGAATATAAAAAGAAAGGGGATCCTTTGTCGGCGGCCGAGCTTTGAAGTCTGGCAGCATTATTTATGCCCTCCTTGGAAATAATTATGCAAAGTTCTTCGCAAATTTGTATTTTTTTTTCAGTCCCGCTACGTCATGCAGGTCTAGAAACAGAAAGTGTGAGGTGCGTCGAAACATCCTTCAAAGCAACACCGATCGATCTTGTTTTCTCGTGTTTGTCAAGAAGAAGGAAATCAAAATTAAAAAACACATCAATTAATACAACCATTTTTACACACTTCCCGTGGTGAAATATACATCCAAACACCCAAAAGTTAATATAATCGAGAATGAACACTGAATTGATTGATGTGGCGTGATCTCGCAAATGAATCGATTTTCTACCATGCCAATAAGATTCTTTTCTTTCTCGTTTGCTTTTTTTTATCTTGCTACTGAAGGGAGGGAGGGGATGCAAATAATCGCTGCTCAGGAGGTCCAACCAACAACAACTCTATTGATTATGGCGGCATAATAAGCGCATAATATAATTTTCAAATTTCCTAGCCGGCCTCGACTGCCGCACAGACAAAAAAAATAAATGGAGGCGAACAACAGGTTTGTTTTCACAAACGAGAGAAACGCCGATCGATTGGAAATTCTATGGAGATTCTGAATTTATTATTTGAAATTTTATTACAGAAGTAAATTAACAATTAACCAAAAACGCTGAATGGTCTAATTTCTGAATACAAAAAGATTAACAAATGGTTTGGAAATTTAATTCAAAAGTGGAGCATAATTTTCAAGAATTTGTTCAAGCATATTTCTTTAAAATTCATGAAAAAATTAAAAAAAAATGAAATTAAAAATAAAATTTTTAATTACATTTAATTTATACCATTTTGAGAAATACTCAAATTTATGATAATTTCTTTTAGGTCAAAATTTTACGTTTAATAAATGCATAAAATTTCCAATAGAATTCAGTTTCTTCGGGAATTTATCAAGAAATTTCTTAAAAATTTACAATGAATCAACAAATTCCAAAACTTAATCAATAAAGAAGCATTATTACGGAAATTTCATTTGGTATTCAATAAAATAGTGAATAATTTTGGTTGGAAATTTAAAAATGGGGTCTGTGCGGCCGAAGAGAACCCGCGTCCTAGCAAACAAGAGTACAACAACGAAAACAACAGCAACCAGAAATACAACTTTGAGAGAAATGAAAAAGCGTGGGTTTTTTGGGACACCCGGAATCAAGTACTCACCGACGGGCTGTTGCTGCTGCATCTGCATTTGGGGGGGCCGCTGCATTTGCTGCTGCTGCTGCATCATGGGGTCGGCGAAGTGCGAGGGCGTCATGGGCCCCATTGGGCCACCGCGGCCCATCGGAGGTCGCGGGCCCATCATGCGTTGGCCCTGCTGCGGCGGGGGGCCGTTCATGCGGGGCGGGCCCATCTGCGGGCCCCGCGGCCCCATGGGGCCCATCTGGCCCATGGGCCGCTGGCCCATTGGCCGTGGGGGGCCCCTGGGCCCGCCCATCATAGGCATGCCCTGCGGTCTCTGGGGCCCCCCGGGGCCCATCATCCGCATCTGCTGCTGCTGGGGGCCCATGTGCTGCTGGGGGGCCATCTGGGGGCCGCCGGGCCCCCCGAACATGCCTTGCTGCTGTTGCTGCTGCTCCTCCTCGGTGCCGATCAGGGTGTTGAGCATCTTGCTGGCGAAACTGAACATGGCTGCTGCTTGCTGGGGCTCTGCGTGTCCCCCGACGCACTAACGGGGCCTCCGGTGGGGCCCCCGCGATCACGAGGGCCGCCCCATGCGAACGCTCGCGCGAAAAATGGTGGCTGGCGAACGGTGCAGGCGATCAATAGGCTGACCTCGCTCGCTCCTTCGTTTGCTCACTCGCGCACTCCCGCCGCCCCCTCCCGACCCCCTCCGGCCGGCTCGATACAGCCCCACTTGCGGCCCGACGGTGGCGCCGCCCACACCACCATCGACACGCGCGCTCCTCTCTTCGGCCACTTTATCAAGCACACGATAAATATGAAAAATAATAATGTCACAATTTTTCATCTCTTTCAAAACACAACATTGTTTTGGCCAAAGATGTATTAAAGATAATAAGTGATTTTTTACATCACTTAAATTTCTCACATTAAAATAAATTAACAAATTTCTTCATTGAAAAATATAAAACTCCATTTCAAAATAATTATTTTAGTTACGAGTTAATTTATAATAAACAGATTCACTGAATTCGTTTAAGAACGAGTAGATTTGCTTTCATTAATTTACCCAGTGTTTTTTATTCACAAAAACTGACAATATCCATTTACATAATGTTTTAATTTCAGTTCGAATAGAACAACAATCCATTTTTTGAACTTTCTCTTCATCTCCTGTTTTTCTTTGCATCTTTCAAATGACAAATCTTCTGCTTAAGATGTTTCGTATAAAAACTAATAAATATGAATGGCTTAATCTGCATAGCCAATTGGCACAATTTCTAGTATGTTTCGGCTAAATTAGTCTTTATCATTCTACGAATGATTTCAAATTCAAAGTAACGCCAAATTTCTTACCAATCTTTAACTCTATTAGTTTCTGGACGCAAAATTCACATTAAAACCGGGTTGGAATCTTTCTCAGATCGGTGTCTTTAAAAGAAGGCAGCTCATATTTTTCCAGATCCTTTAAACTGAAATGGAATATGTTTAATTAATATCAACAATATGGCTCGAAGTGTTTTAATTAATTTTTTCAAGTTGCATCCAGTTGAAAATTGTCTTATTTACTGATCTTCTTCTGATTCAATACTTTAATATAATTTAATTATGATATTCTATTGTAAAATCCAAAATAAATATTGGAGACAAAAATTGGCTAAAACCATCAACAATTTTTGCCAAATTTCCACCCCTGCATTGATGAAAGGGTGCATTCAAGTGTGCCTTCGGAGAAATTTATCCAAACTGTAGATCCCCAGCCAGCAAATGTGCTGCTTGAAACCAAGCTTATATTTAAAAAAAAAAATACAAAAAAGTCATTTCATAATTTATAAGGATCAAAACGAAGAACATAATTTGATATATCAAATTTAACTTTTGCCTTTGGAGTTAAAAACAAAAAGTATCAGTTCCAAAACCCAAGGGGCAAGAATTATAGGAGGCTTGATTAATATTATTACCATTCAGGGGTGCATTATCTGGGCTGGATTCCATCCGAGACGAGTCATACTCCGGGTCGAGACTCCAATTTATTGGTTATCGTTAATGATATCTTGGAAAGAAGTTGATTTTTTTAATTTTTTTTCACTTATTTGATATCAAAATAAAGCCATAGCTGGAAAATCAATACCTCTGAAATTTATCAAATGTTAAAAAGTTTTGTATGAGACTGGGTACCAGCTCAAAGCAATAATGCTTGTGAAGGAACCCACATGGGTTGCGGTCCCTTGCAGTTGAAAACTCGATTCTAGAAGAAAAATACAAATATCTACTCGTATGAAGCGGGGTGAAAATATTTATTTTGTCTGTACTTTTTAACAATAGAGGCACACGTTTGTGCTGACCTGCAGCAGGAATCTCTTTTAGTTTACCTGCCTAAAGGTAAGGGGGGAGAAAACACGCACTCTGTCCGCTGCGAGCTGAGGGCGCGCGATCCAGTAGCCAAGCGAGAGTAAAACCGATCGAAATTGTAACGAAAAATCAGAAAAGGCGTTTGCACATTTCCACCTAATCTCATTAACTATTAGCCCCTGAACAAAAGTCTTGGTACCAATAGATTCCTCGATAGTTGTTCCGTGTTTTTATCGTGGCACTTTTTTGAGATACCGCACAGGTCTTTTAGAATTGGCTTTCAACTAATTAATATTTTAATTTGCAAATTTTTTATCAAAAATCGGCCACGATATAAACACAGTTTAACTCTTTAGCTTTCCAAAAATATATAGTTTGTAGGGGTTAAAATTTTTAATAACTGCAAAACAGGCGAAATTCAAAACCCTTTTTAAACAGCCCGTTTGCCGGTCCCTTAAATCAAAATATCTGGCCTTTATACGTTCCTCTCTTTACCGCGTCCTTAATCAAGCCAAATTCAACCCTCCCCAAAAAAAAAAGAAATTTCCAACGTGAAGGCTGACAATGTTAATGAATTAATTGCACTCTCTTAACTATTTTAAGGCATTGTTAATTTTTGAAACGAACCTATGATGCAAAAAAGCTATACTCTTTATTTGTGCCCGCCTCATTTGAGAGAGAGATTCCGCTCTTGTTGTATCAAGTAAGAAATGCGCGGCGCTTATTTCGAAAAGTGTAAGAACGCGGTCAGTCTGATCTTGTCGAGAATGAGCAGATTTGGTGTCGCCGCAGACACCAGGGTTGCAACTGTAAAGAAATAAACCTGAGCAATGTTCTCAAAATTAGAAGCTAGTTCAAAAGAATTCACTGTAAAAAAAGCAGGCAGAAAATTAATTTAATACAAAAAGCATTTTTCATAACGCAAATAATTTTTAATTTAAAAATTGAAAGTCGGTTTTTGTATCGCTGCGGAAGGGTGTCTGCTCTGTCCCTCTGCGAGGAGTTGATCGCCAGCAAAAGTCCTCTGTTAATCTCTTCTCTCTTTTTAATTTGTTTTTAACTTGTGTTTTCAACTTTTTATCGTTAGTTTTGTGTGATAATCAGAGGATGGAAAAGCATTCCGATTGTAACAAGAAGAATGAGGTAAAGATAATTTTACTATTAATAATTCGCATTCAAATTACTGGTTTTGATTTTTAAACGCCGATTTACTTTCTTATTCAAAGCGGTTTTAAGAATTATAAAATCGTTTACATTTGCTTATTCCCATATGAATTGTGCACTGAGCACGGCCGTCTCATTGTCAGTGTCAAGTATTAAATAAATGAGATTGAACACTGACGTTTTTTCTCTGTTTGCAATTAATGGCATTTTTGATGCCATCGCCAGCCGGCCGGCCGGTGCGTGAGAATGATTTGCATTCTCTGCATTTTCTGCTTGCGATTTGAATGCACCGAGTTTGTAACCGCACTCGAAGACCTTTTGCATTTCTTCGAGTCTGTCATGTAGTCTATCCTAGTAGGTAATAAAAGAGGATAATGCTACACATTTATTCAAATTAGCTAATTTGCATAATGATATAAAAATTATTAATTATACAAAAATTTAATTTTTCGTGATAATTTAGTATTTATGTTGATAATTTGACACATTCATTAATTGATTAGGTCTGATTAGCCCTCTGATTTAATTAATTTAATTTGAATATAAAGTAAATTTATTAGACATTTTAAACAATTTTGCATTAAAATTAAATTTTACTACATCATGATTTTCTTACGTAGAATAACCAGCTGATGATGATTCTAAAAATAAAAAATCATTTCCACGCCTTATTTCCGCGTGCTTCAAAGAAATCGAAATCTTTATTTCCATTTTGTGTGAAATAATTGCAAAAAATTAATTGACCAACGGCTTAGACACAAAAAACGTTTTGTACGAAAATGAAGAAAAATTAATAAAAAAAGGACTCCAAAAATAAAACTATTATCAAAGCGGAGAAAATTATAATCCGCTGGCGCGCCGTGTAGCGAGCCGAAAACGCGCAGGGGAAACTCTGCGGACAGAGAGCAGGGCCCAGGCGGGGCCGCGCGTCTGCCGCCGTCACTGTTTTCTTGTGTGATTTGGCCGAGCGTGACGAATAATGTCACCCCGAGAATGAATGATGCTTTGTTTTTCCACCTGCAACAGGCGCAGGCTTCAAAAGCGCCGGGTCAGGTGCCGACTTTTGCAGCCAAGTCAGGGGCAAAGGAAAATAAAAACATCCGTCTCAATGTACCACGGAACGCGAGTCGGATAATCACGCACAAAGCACACGCTTGCGCGGGTTCGACGACACGCTAAAATATAAATCGAGGTAAAGTCTACCCCCGCGTGCATTATGTTGTTGAGCAGCACCACGAAAGCTGCGAGCCGATGCAGCATAAAGTGCGCCGCGCCCGCAGCCATCAATGTTTGTGAATGAGCGTCGCCAGTGAAATTATGTCATCTCGAATGTGAAAAATGCTTTTTTTTCCGGCGTTCAACTCTGCAACGGGCGCAAACTTCAAGAGTACCGACTTAAAGCGTGGCCACAGTCCATTCGATGATTTTTGAAATTCGTTTAAAATTGTGTCTAAGCCGTTCGTCAATTAATTTTTTGCAATTATTGCACACAAAATGGAAATAAAGATTTCGATTTCTTTGAAGCACGCGGAAATAAGGCGTGGAAATGATCTTTTATTTTTAGAATCATCATTAGCTGGTTATTCTACTTAAGAAAATGTAGGAAAATTTAATTTTAATGCAAAATTGTTTAATATGTCTAATAAATTTACTTTATATTCAAATTCACTTAATTAAATCAGAGGGCTAATCAGACCCAATCAATTAATGAATGTGTCAAATTATCAACATAAATACTAAATTACCACGAAAAATTAAATTTTTGTATAATTAATAATTTTTATATCATTATGCAAATTAGCTAATTTGAATAAATGTGTAACATTATCCTCTTTTATTACCTACTTATCCTCTGCTTATTTTTCGTTTTCACATCAAACATTATTCTGACGCTTTGTATAAATTTCTTTTTACTGCTATGCATGAGATTTATAAAAATTAAAATAAACACCATTTTTACCACACAAATGCACAACTAATTATATAATGAAATGTTTACTTTTAAATAATTGAAATTAGTATCGGGAAAAACATCGAGGGCGATCCAAAAGCCTAACCTGGCCCGGGCTAACTTGACTTAGCCCCGGGTTAACTTGGCCCACTAGCAAAATTGAATGGTGGGTTAAATTAGCCCAGGCCAGGTTAATTTAGCCTGGGCCAAGTTAGCCTTTTGGATCGCCCTCATCATAATTAATTGCCATGCAACTTATTTTTGAGATTGTTGTTGTTCTTACAAGAAAACTAAAGAAAAAACGCGTAAAAAAGAAAAACGCTGAATTCGATTTATTTTTCTCGTTTAGTAAACCAATCAAATATTTATGCTTAAATTGCTGAACCTTCTAAATTTACAGCGCGACTGCAAGAGAAGAAAGGAGCAGGAACTTGTCTTGGGAGCAGCTGGTCCATTTGGATCAAAATGGTCCAGAAGAAGACCCACCAACGCCACTCCAGCCAGAGTAAGAATGTTTTTGTCACATTGATGCTACTTAGATTTATTGTTGTTTACTTGTCCACATTGTTTCAAATACATTTTTTACATTCAATTTTAGAAAAACAGTTATTTAAGAAAGAGATTTTTGGACAAAAAGGCATCACCACTAGCAAAAAAATTTTGCTAAAACTTTCGAGATCAAAAAGACCCCAGCCGCCGCTGTGAGCCTCTGAGATCTTGGGGAAATAATTTTGCACTTAAAAATCAAATCAGTGCGCGCAAATACAATATTGGTTTGTCCATTGTCATACGACATGTTGATTTTCAGCGATCCCACCGCAGCAGAAATTCAATGAGAATTGATCTTTTAGTCACTGGAAAATAATTCAAATCATGAAAATGGACCGTCCAGTGACGTGGGGGAGGCAGTAGGTGCGACACTGTCTGCCGATTCGTAATAAGAAATTACATAAAATCAAAGTTGCATAATGAAATTATATACCTGGGACAACTCGCACGATCTATTGACCACTATACCGCACCTAATTATTATAAAACCGTGGAAATATTTGTAAATAATAAATTGAATATTTAACAATTTCTCATATAAATCCAAACAGAAGACCATATATGATGGGCATGATGGCTTAATTATGGAAGTGTGTTCTTGTTGGAATATTGATTTTTCTTATCTAAAAAAAATGTTCATCTATTTGACGAAGCCCGTTTTTTTAATTCTACGTCTTCGCCCTCTTTAAGTAATTTAAAATGCCAATTTCTTCACTTATAAGTGAAAAAAGAGGTGGCAGTTCAGTGGCTATTCGCTTTTGTATACATATAAAATCGTTGGGAAGGAACATGAGTAAACAGGCCAGGTTTGATTCAAAGAAAATAATAATCCAATTGCAACCCCAGAGCGGCGCGCCTCATCAGAGCGCTCCTTTGCGGAAGACGCGCCTTGTTCTCCTGAGCTGAGCTAGACCGCGCATTCGGCGCCAGGCGCGCCGCAGTGTCCACATAGATCGCTCCTCTTGCGCCAGGCACAGCGCACGCATTTTTGGCAACCGCGCCTTTGTAAAACCACTCCTCGCTCTAAAACGCGCCCGCTTCGAAACCCTGGTTTCACGCAGATACAGAAAAACATTTCAAATTTGTTTTTTTTTCTTTTTCCGAATTTCAGACCAGATCAAAGAAGCTGCTGGAATCACCTGAGCAAAAGGTAAATTGATAATAATTAATTAAATAAGTGGTGTAGTCATTTTTATAAGTTCACATTCAAATAAGTCTCACTTGTGTAGAATAAGTACCAGTTGTACATGTAAATCTCATTTGTAACAAACGTGAAATGAACATTATACAGATGCGATCGACTTATGTACACTTGGTTATTATTTGTATGCGAGACTTACTGCTATGAAATGATGTTAATAACAATTCAACGCATGTTAAAACTCGTCAAATTTTTTCTTAAAGTGTATCGCAATTTGTTCTTTCATTAATATATTATTGTATTTAAACGCATAGGAAAATGGGCCGTGTGGCAGTTCCGAAAGTCAAGCCCAAAAGCAGCAGAAGGCACATCGTCTATACGGACCAAAGTGAGCTATTTATTATTTAAATATTTTTTATTTTAAGGATCAGAGGATAAGCTTATGTCAGCCTCTATCCTTTATTACGGGCACAGAAAGTACTACTTTTTTTTTAATTATAGTTTCACTATACTTAAAATCATCTCATTTTTTTTCCTGGTATATTTCCTTAATTAAGAGTCTTTGCAATTTTTTTAACTGGCTAATATTTTTGTAATTATTTTGTTATTAATTTTCTGTAAATGAATGCGATTAGTAGTGGCGTAGTGGTTTGAGTGTTAGGCTACCAATACGAAGGTTCAGAGTTGAATGCTTTGACGTTGTTAGCGCGTCAAAAAGTGCTCTGTATCGTCACTCATGTTCGGGAGGTGTCGCAAGGCGCCGTACTTGCCTGCTCGAGGTTTGTGCCGTTTCCTCGAGTTGTTGGAGTTCCTGCACCACATGGGGGCATTTCATACAGTCAAAAGAAAAAAAAAATTTTAAATTTATTTTTACTATATATATATGCTGATAAACTTAAATTTATAATTCTTCAAATAGTTGTTAGATGCATGAGTTTTTTCTGCTCTAATTAGAGTTGTTTGTGTAAAGTGCAAAGCATTTTCAGGGTTCAATTTTTAAGAGGTTTTATTTTTCATGGTATTTTTTGAAACTGTGCAAAAAATCTTGCCTAGAAAGAATGGAATTTTTTTTTTATTTTTAATCAAGCAATTAATTATAAATTATAAGTTTAGTAAATTCCAGTAAAAATCTATTAAAAATACATTTTTTTTTTTAATTTAACTCGGTATAATGCTCTAATACGTCAATTAATGTTAATTGCGCACTAGAAAAGTTAATGCTTTGACTGAGCGGCAGTTAAAGCACGCTTAAAATTGATTTAAAATTCTTTTTCTATTAACCACTTCAAAGAAAAAAGACGTGGATAAGTCAATAAATTATGAAAATGCAATCAAAAATTAAAGTCCCTCACACTGATCATCTGCAGGCATTGGAAGGTCTGGTATCGGAACCTGATGCACGCATCTGCCTCTGTCTGCGTAGTTCGCAATCTTGCAGAGCCCAAAGTGTTACTGACTAAGGGCGAATACATCATCGAGTGCACACTCCGTTCCAAAATGTTCGGCAAAACAAAATTCAGGAAATTGTTAGCCGGAAAGGATCCTTCCTGCCCCGAATTCCTTCCTGAACTGGTCAAGCGTAAGTGCGGAAATTTAACAAGGTTTGTAATGTGCAATTTCCACTCTAAGCGCTCTTCAATAATCTAGATTTTGAATGGCTGCAAAACAACCCTGATGAGGTGCAAGTGAACATAAGAAAGCGCTATGAGATGGAAAAGAAGAGCGCGCGAACTGCAGAACCAGAAATCCTTTACTCTGGAGGTAATTTTTTTTTAAACCATATGAAGAGATAAATATATCTCTTGAAACCCAAATATTCTCTTTCCTTATTTTAAAAATTACAATTTCGAATATATAACGGTCAATTTTGCATGCCATTTTAGAACCTGAAAAGCTGAAAGAAGTGTCAGAGGAGTTCCACTGGCGTCAAAAAAATGGTGGGACAAACAAATTTCCCAATCTTCGTTTTATTTGCCTCAGACAATTTTAAATAAGTAAACTACAGTTGCGTTTTTCTTTATAAATTTTCACAATAACCCCCAATTTTCTGCGGTTATCAAAATGGTCATTATGGCCAATCTAAATTGTCTGTTTTTGTGGATCGAGGATTTTGCTGCCCTGCGGTGGTCGGCGGGCCTCTTTAAAATGTTGTTGCCATGAGTTCGGTCTTCTCTCCCAACCTGGAGTTAAATTAGTCTCGCGAACAATTGAAAATTTTGTGTCCTTTTTTCACTGCTAATTCAAATGAAACGAGGGCTCGATTCAACGCCACGGCCTTCTGAAGTCCCGACCCCGAGTTTTATCGGTCAGACTTCAGCCGGGCAAACTTCAGCAGACTGCTGGCTTTCAGCTGAGCCGTAAAATCGGAGGCGGCGTTTGGCTGACAATTGTTTTACGTAAAATTTCATTAATTTAAGCGAAGAAAATTTTTCGGCCTGGGAAATTTAGGACCCTTATATTCCATGGCGATGCGCGTTTTGCAGCAGACACAATCAGTGCCTGGGCATAAAAGAGCTCTTATTTTTCTTGGCGTCGAAGGCCTTTCGGAACCATCAAATAAAAATTTTAATTCCCCGAACCGGCTCCTTGACGATAAAGAAATTAAAAAGACAATAGTAATTAAGCGGTGGTGCTTCAGGACCAGCAAGGGGCGGGGGGCGCTATTTGATTTTGCACACGCGCCAGCGAGACAGAGCAGTGAAATTGAAATTGCGATATTTTTTACAATGGGGGCTCGATGCAACAATGAAATGTGTTATTAGCCAATCAGAAGCGGTACCAGTTTTAAAGTACCGCTTCTGATTGGCCCTCCAACAATGAAAATTGATTTCATTGTTGCATCGGGCCCCCATTGATTTTTTACAAGCCATTATTCAAGAATCCAAATCTTAATTTAAAATCGCTTTTAACTGGATTCAGAAAACAGAAATTAATTAAAAATAAAATATGTCAATTATTGTGCGTGCGTGACAAGCAATAAAAAGTTTTGGATTTACATATCCTCAGTGAGATTTTGACCGCACCTGCGGTGGAGAGAGCAAAAGGAATGCAAAATTTTCCTTGTGAAAGGATTTTTTTAAATTTTGGGAGCGCATCTTGCTTGGCAGAGCGGGATCGCTGATCAAGCTTTTGCTTCGAGATTATTTTTCTTTAAATTATTCTGGCCGTGTTGCTAATAAGAATTCAATAATTAAAGATAGGGGAGTGAGGGTGTTGTGCTTTTAGGGTGGCAAAAGTGATTCAGCAAAGTTTGGACATTATTAACATAGTTCCACTTACATTCTGGGGATCAGAGGATGTTTGTTGCTTCGAAAATGTTGATGAGCGCGTCGACGGGTTTGATTTTCTGAGTTGATGAAGCGACCGCAGCAGATCATTTTCCGACAAGAAGTGGGTGGAAAAACCGGTCGTTGATATCAATCCATGATCCACGCGCCGCAATCACTTGAAAGCACCTGCCGGCGAGAGATGCGGTCAACTTTTATGATAAGTCACCTGAAAAAATTAATAAGAATTTACAAGCATTACATGCTTGCGTGTGTACTCGCAACTGGATCTAACCCCACAGTTGGATCGAACCCTACAATTGGATCGTACTTTTGCAGGAACTCTTTTAAAATTTAAAACATTTGTTTGGATGTCGGCAGGCGTGCGGAACGAAATTCTGTATTTTTTGTTAGCAAAAACCTACCATTTTATAATACCCTCAAAATTTGTGGTAGGTTTTTGCTAACAAAAATACAGAATTTCGTTCCGCACGCCTGCCGACATCCAAACAAATGTTTTGATCAGAAAAGCAACTTTTGCAACGATCTGGACCTATAGTGTGTATGGTCACGATTCAAATTTTAAAAGAGTTTGGACCTGCAAAAGTGTACGATCCAATTGTAGGGTTCGATCCAACTGTGGGGTTAGATCCAGTTGCGAGTACACACGCAAGCATGTAATGCTTGTTCATACCAAAATATAAGTTTCAGCTCAGCGTTGTTCAGTTCACTTGGTATACTTTGAACGGTACGAAACGCGGAATCGTGTATCATAGGAATATTTTCGTTCTCGGAAGTTTAAGTAAAATTCTTCCTGGTGGTGGTGCCGGTTTGACCAACAATCGATTTTTTTCGCTCTCAAATAAATTGTTTTCAACAAAACTTAATTCCAACAATGTGGGGCAACAAATTGGACAAAGAAATTACATTAATAAAAAAAACTGAGCGAAGAAGAAAATTATGATACGAGCACACATATAAATACGTTTTATTTTTTTTATTGAAAATCGAATATAAAAATGAAGGAGTTTTTTTTTTTTATAAAATAACCACAATGAATTGTTTGTTTTGAGTACCTTAGTTCCAGTTAGATCACTGGTGCAAGGGTTGACGAAAGGGCGGCTGCGCCGCCCTTTCGTCAACCCTTTGGTCGTTCAGTGTCTTGGGTCTCATGGTGCAGAAATTCCCTGATGTGGATGTAATTTTTTTTTTCTAATTGAAAACTAATTTAGTCAAGTCACGTGAGCTGGGAATTTCACCTTTCCAATGTGGGGAAAATGAATTTTGATATTTTATAAATGATAATAAATTTGAATATTTATAATTTTTTTTAATACTTTTGAATTATAAAATGTCATGAGAAACCATTTTCCACGTCAAATTCAATTTCCGTTGCTGAAATCCACCTCGGGAATGAATTACGAACGTCATCCAATCGTCCGAACAGCTTTCCGAGGACGGAATTCAATTATGCGAGGAAAATCTTAAAAAACTGGTTTTGACCCTGGTGACCTTGAGCTAAAAATTGACCTCGGATTCGGGTCGGGCGCCGAAAACCACCTTGGAAACCCAAATTTCAGCGAGCCAGAGCGAGCCGAACGAAATTCGCGTGTTTTTCATATGAGAGGCGGCACGCGCGACAAAGCGACCGGCTCCGCACTTGCCGAGCGAAAAAATGCAATTTTTGAAAAAATTTCTCCGATTTCCGGGCCGATTTAAATCGGCGTTTTGACATTTCTAGGGATTTTGGCACACGCCGCGGCCGAATCCGCGCTCAAAATCGACCTGCGACCTTCGGAAAGGGTGGAACCTGAGCTCAGGGTGCCCAAAAGGTGGGAAGGGCGACCCTGAGCGCGGATCTGACGCCGGAATCGTGACGGGCGCACGCGAATTAGTCGAAGACGAAATTTTCGCTCATTTTCATCAAAGGGCTGAATTAAACGGCGGGGCGGCCACGCGCGAGAAAATCAGGCGGCCGCAGGTACTCGAGCGGAAAATAAATTTCGATTTTTGAAAATTCGCAGCTCGGCCGCTATTAGACGTAGCAACCTGAAATTTTAAACCCGCGTAGAACGGCCACTTTTCTAAATGGGCAAGTGGAAAAAACGCCGATTTTCGGCCCGATTACCCCTGACAAAATTCGGCGAAAACCCAACCTTTGCGATTTTCTTTATTTTTTCAGGGCTTACCCTGAGGATCGCCCCAAATTCGAAGATAGCCATTCTTCACGATTTTTCACGAGGAATCCGAAAATGTGCATGTTTTTGCCCTACGACCTGCGGAAGGTGGTCAGGTTGACCCTGAAATCGCTCAGGGCGGTCCTGGAATTTTTTTGACCTCGGATTCGGGGTCGGGCCGCGGACTTTCCATAAGGAAGTGAACTCGGTTTTTTCGATTTCGGCCGCGTTTTTTTTTTAAATCGCGATTTATCGTTTTTGCGATTTGCGAAAAACCCAATACTAAAAATTTTTCAAGAATTTAATCCTAGACTAATTCGGGGTCGGGGAGCTTAAAAATGCAATAAAAAAAAAAATATTTGCGGTGCCGTTTTTGAGAAATCGCGATTTGAAAATTTAAAACCGGTTTTTCTCCCTGAAATAACCGGTTTTTATGTAAATTTACCGGTTTTTCGGACTCGCGAGGGTCGATTTAGGGGGGGGGGGGGGGGGGAAGGCGAAATCCCAGCTCGATTGAGGCAGTTTGATTTTGCAAGAATTTCCGACTTTGGCCGCCCGTGGTGGCCGCCGGTTTGCGAAATCGAGGCTAAAAAAAAAACATGGCCAAAAAATTTTCCAGTTTTGCGTACATGAGAATTTTTTGGTTCCTTAAGTAAGACAGTTGGCAAAATGCAATAGTATACTAATTAAGATGGATAAGATGGACAATTAAAAACTTTTAATAACTATCGGTATGTGCCTGACTTTCTATTTGACTAAACAAATTAATATTTGGAAAGTTTCATGCCACATGGAAAAATTAATCATTTAAATAGGCTTTATTTTTATTTCTGCGTTGTTTTCCATTGAGGGTTCGAGAGCTCTTGTTTAGTTACAATTTTCGATTTTTGCACCAGATCCGCATTTTTGCAAATTGTTCGCTTCATGAGATTGATAAGCATAATTATGGAGGGAATAATAATAAAAAAAGTCGCGCTCCATTTCAAATGCAAATAAAGCAAACCATATTCTCCCACACTTGCCTCCCACTTAATTACTGCAATGAATTTAATTTTGTCTCAAAAGTGCCTAATCCTTCTTTAGTGATTAATTCTCCGTTGCAGAAAATGCAATCAAAAACACAATGCATATAAATTTTAACCAAATTCTGCTTATAATTAAAAAGCGTCTAACTCTTTTTATGTCGTTAAGTTTTGCCCGACGCTGAACTGCATCACCAACAAGTCCAGGCTCGCATAAAGGAGGAGGAGAAGATGGACGTTGAGGAGGAGATGGACGACGAGGAGGCGGATGACAAGGATAATGACGAAGAGAGTGAGGAGGACAAGGAGAAAGAAGAGGAAGCAACTTCTGTAGAGGAAGACGACACTGAGGAGGACGAGGAGGAGGAAACAATCGAGGACATCCAGGCCACAGTTGACAATGAAATGGTCGAGAAGCAGGCGGTGAAGGTCAAGAAAGAGGTAGTGGAGGAGGACTCTGAGGACCCTGTGCTGATCGAGGAATACGGTACGCCATAAATAAAAAAAAAATCTATGAAATAAAATGTGCAATTGCCAGAGGCAAAATTGGTCTCCGGAATCTGAATCAATTAAATTTTTGAAAATTAATTTTCTTAAAATATAAGTCTTTATTTTTTACTATTTTTTCATAATAGTACCGAGGGCTGTAAAGTTGCCTGAGCCAGACCTGCGCAAGAGAGGTAAATTTAATTCAGGAACATGTGATCAAAAATTGAAATGAGTTTTTTGCAGAGGTGACGAAACTCCAGAAAGGCCAGTACTTGGTTAGTAATTGTGGTTACTACAAGACGAACGATGGAACCTGGACGCAAGTTACGGGCCGATGCGTGTACAGCGCCGTATTGAACATGCTGTTGATGGCAATTCGCTCGGTAACGCTCTTGACCTCCGTCCGCCCCTTTCGTGACCTTTTGTTTGTCCGCAGGGCCATGACGACTGGGCGCGCAGCTTGGCCACGGAGGAGAGTCCGTCCTCTTTCAAGCACTTCCTCGCCCTCGCCCTCCAAGGCAGCAAGGTGGTCACCACCAACCTCCACTACCACTCCCTTCGCTTAGTGAACCAGTGGTGAGAGTCTATTTAACTTGTTTTCTTAATATAAACAAAAAAATTTTTATATATGCTTTGCCCAATTCAATTCCCTTTGTGAAATGTCTTTAAGAGGAAACACAAATTTCCTACTATCACATTAAAAGCCACATGCAATTGACGTGTGACTTTTCTTACACTGCCAAGCAGTTCAATGTTTTCCAAATCCGAATCAAATTTTAAAAAGCAGGATCGCATTGAAAGAAAAAATGACAAATTTGAAAGTCCTCTCCCGATACCGAACACATTTTTTAGAGTAGGAGTAAGATTTGATTAATTCTGGTCTTTATTCAGTCAAGGTGCAGGAAGCGTGGTCGTGAAAGGGGAGGCCACCATCGGGGAGGTGCTGCAAGGTCTGCGCTGGTTCGGCGGCACGGAGGCTGCAGTGTGTCACCCTTGCAAAATATTTACAACGAGAACAATTAACTACGTCACCCAGGAGGAATTCCAAGCCTTGAGGGCCGGAAAGGTGCCGAAAGCTTCGCTCTGCCTCGAGGTATCATATCCATTTTATCTTTTCTCGCACCTTTGCACATCTTAACATAGCTAAAATTTATTCAAAAAAACTTAATTCGATACGTAAGTGTTTTTGTTGCAAAAATTGGCAAAGACCTTTCAACATCCCTCTGTTAAAAGGCAGAGCTCGATATTGTTAAATTTAAAAACTTCATTTAATATGGTTTGGATTGGCCTTATGATGAAATTATGAAACTTTTTAAAGTTATTAATTGTGTGTTACCTGCAGTGCCTTGGTCCAAGGGAGTCCAAGTACCAGGTCAACGAACTGGGCTTCCCCGTCCTTTGGGAGAGTAAGCGCGACTTCGTGGAAACCCTGTGCGAGGTGAGCTCGTTTTGTTCGATCGGTCGCAATTGCTGAGACTCAGAATCTCTTCCTTGGTTTTGTTGCAGTCCGGCGAGGTGCCGCAGGAGCTGGTCATTTCTGGAAAAGTTTTCAAACTGAAGGCCATGCTGTTTATGTACAAGATTCAGGAGGGTCGCCACTGCATCGCAATTTTGCCACCGCTGCGCACACGCCACACTTCGGCAATCACCTGGAAGGTGGCTGACGCAAACCAGTCCCTGAAGATCGGCAGCCTCTCCGATCTGGGTAACCCAAAAGGACGTATGAGATGTCTGTTGTTTGTCCCTTGCCAGTGAGTGAATGCAGTGCCTGTAATGAAAGAATTATTATTTTTTGACGACACTGCAGCTATTGTAACATAAAGAATCATTTTGATATTGACACTGTATTTCACACATAATTATCTTTATCTCACTATGCATTTCTTTTTAATTGTAATGACTTGATCTCGACTTATAATATGTAATTATCAAAATTTTCTTTTGTGTAATCAGGATTCACAGTCCAACAATTGCAGTAAACCCAAAGAGTTTGTTACACACTGCATTAAGTTTTTGCCCTCTTCTTATTACAGATATTAAACTTTGGACAATTTTGTAATCACTATTATTATTATAAATTTGCCAACAAATATTGTTTTTATGTATGTGTATTGAAAGTTTGATCAATTTCATAATTTATTAATTGAGTTGCTCTTGCTGCAATATAATACTTTGATGGGAAACATTTCACATTTGAAAGCATTTAAAAACCATAAATAACAAAAAAAGGGGCGCTGCAAATTATGAACAAATCAAAAAATTTTAGTGTATTAAATAATTATTTCTAAATGTGTCCATCTCAGGAAGTTTTAAAATCTGGACAGCACCTGCACTTGATCAAAGTTAATAAAAATTATACTTTAAATGACCGCACTATTTTTATTTTTTAGTTTCAAACCCCAACAGACGAGACCTGAAATTTTCAACTCACCACAAGCACGCTGTTGTTGCTGCGAACTGGCCCTCCTTTTTAAAAATTTAGTCCATTTCATTTTGCTGCAGAGAAAAGTGGCATTTCAGGGGCCACCAACTGCCTTTGGCCGATTTGCTGCAATTTAACCCCAATTTTAATCGCAATCATTTGGTATTTTAAGAGATTTAAATTAAGGTTTTGACACACACAAATTAGTCATGCGAAATTTAAAATTGAAAGTTAAATTCAAGAGTCAAAAATATTCGAAAGGCTTTATTTGTCTCCGGTTTGCTTGCTGGAGCAAAAGGAGTATTCGAAGCACTCACCGTGTGAGGAAGGTTGAACTTGGGGCTTCTGAGGAATTCGGCCCACCTGCAAGGGCTGCTGGACGCCAGGGTCAGGGTCGAGCGTCGCACCCTAAACAAAGTCAACAGCCAGTTACAAAAGTTTCAATTGGGTCTCACGTGCACCACCAAAAAGCAGGGCAGAGACCGACGAGACTCTTGGCCTGACCGGAGAAATCTAATTTAAAATCTACAATAATCAGCCAACTTGCAAATTATTTCGTAAAACAAGCAGCCTTTGATTGAAGGTTGCAGAACAAAGTATTTGAATGACGACCTGCTCCTCCAAGTAAACTTAAATGCAGATCTTTAAAAGCAGAGATGCAAAATACTTCAATTATAATTATGTTAAATGCCAAATAAGGAGCTTAATCAATTTTCTCTTACAAATTTTGCAAATCCTGTTCTGCAGTTGAAATAAATCGAAGCAGTAAAAATTGGGAAAATTTCATCGACTATTGGACCAAGAGGAGCAAAGGGACTAATGAAGAAAGAGTGTCAAATTTAATGTAAACTATTCAAGGATTAGTACTATTAAAAAAAGTTAATGAGGGCGATCCAAAAGGCTAACTTGGCCCAGGCTAAATTAACCTGGCCTGGGCTAATTTAACCCGCCATTCAATTTTGCTGGTGGGCTCTGTTAGCCCGAGGCCAAGTCAAGTTAGCCTGGGCCAGGTTAGGCTTTTGGATCGCCCTCAATATTATTAAAATATTGCTATTATTTATTAACTCAATATGCCAATCCTAAATGCTGGACGGCATGCAGGCCAGGCTTGCCTAGCGGCATGCAGGCCACGACAACTAGCCATCATGCCATGGCCTTAGGTCTCGCTTTTGCTCGAAAATGACCTGGTGCCGAACTCCATGCCGCGGCATGGAACTTTTTTTGACTGTGTATCAAATCAAATTAAATAAAAAAAAGTGTTCGTTTTTTCAACATAACTCTTCCTGCTGACAGAACTTGAAAAAGGTGAGCCTGGTTGAAGGGACTGACCTGCAGCTCGTAAAGTTCGTTGGAGTACTTGCCGTACTCGACCGTTCCGCCGATCACCAAAATGCGCGTGCCGTCCACAACAAAGCCGTACGCCGCGCACCCTGGCGGCACCTCGCCCTTCACCGCAGGGGGAGGGTTGGCTGCAACAATAGAAAAAACACAACATAATTCCTCATTGTTGGGATTAATTTTGAAAAAATTGTCTTTAAACGAAATTAAGTTGGCACGCTTGCCAAAGAAATGCGCCAGTAAAAAGGTCAGGTCAAGGGGAGTCGATTGGTGGCTCCAAAGGTCAAGGTCACCTTCAGATTGGCGGAGAAAACGGCAAAATTTGCAATAGAGCAATCTGATTGGTCCGACAGGTTCCCCCACCACCAAATTGAAAATGTCTTTAAAGTACGAAGTGTGACACATCGATGGAAAGGTCAGGTCACGGCGAATCTATTTCTTGCACACCTAACTTTGAACTTGGCAGGTAGCTCTAAATTAATCTGTAAGAATGTGTTTTGTGACAAATTCCTACTGTAAAATTAAATTTGGTCTTCATTTCGTTTTCTGCATAACTAATTTTTATTTGTAATTGTGGAAGTTTAAACAATTCTTTAAAATTATCAATTTGCAAGCGTTGAGTTTAGCAAAAAATAATATAAAACCTTCTGGACGAGATTGAGTGGTGAGGGTGTCGACGCACCCCTTCTCGCTGATTAACCGGTTCATGGTATTAGGAGACAAGTTACCGCATTACAAACGAGGAGGACAGAAGCTACAAACCCCTCTTTTTGGTAAAATTAATTTAGACGCAAGTTACAAGTGCAAAACTTTTAATAAGCAAATAAGAATTGGTCAGGTTTTTTTATTAATTTTAAACTAGATAACATAGTTTTAAAAGCAAATAAATCTATTAAATTAATTAATTTGACCGAAGCAGTAATTCATGAGAGCAGTTTGGAACAAAATTATATTTTAGGGGGAATTAATTGCTTTTTTGTAACAATTAAGTGATGAAAAACACTTGATGGAATCAGCAATCGGGCTTGAAAAATTGACGCGGCGAGTGGTTTTGAAGAAGGTGGGGATGCGAGCGAAGGTGAGAACAAATGAGCACCGACGACACGCTTTCCTCGCCGCACTCCACCAACGTTTTCAGACGAACGAACATCGCCAGTCCAGCCTCACTCAAGCCCGGCCAATTTTTGATCGCACCCGCGTGCCCAGGTAAGTTGCTTTACTATTAGTATTATTTTTTTCGGCAAAACCCTTCACGTGGTGATCAAATTTATGTTGATATCAATTTTGTTTATTAAAAGGTGCTTATTTTTTTCCGAACGACGTTCATTTAAGCGCTTCTTTTCCTTCGGCTTGCGGGAAAAGGAGCCGAAATTATTAAACAATCTGCATTTTACTGATTATACAAAATAAATCTGGCGTGATAAAAAAATTATTAAAATTTTCATGGCAAGTTTTGCAAAAGTCGAGTGAGACCGGTTTTGCTATGAAAATATCATAAATTAATTAAATAGTGGTATTTCATGCTTAATGAAGTTTGAGTTGCAATCGTGCGAGTGCGGCCAACATTTTAATATCGCTGAATAAAAAGCTCGGATTGATTTGAGCAGTTCGTGTGGCATGAAATCAAAGAAGAAAATGTTTGGATTGCAAAGAGAGACGCGAAAGGCAAACGTTTTCTAGGCTCGTGGTCGATTGTTTGCTGCTCAAGCGGCAGACCTCCTCACGGCGCCTGCTTTCCTTCATTTCTGGGAGGCGCCTCATTTGGCCCGAAGAGATTTTGCCTGGGAAAACTATTCAAGGCTGCAGTAAATTGTCCGCCAAGGAATTCGCCCGACTGCGAGAATCTGATGAATTTGTCTCGGTCTTTAGAGATTCCTCCTGCAATATTTGTAAATTTTTAAATTGCGTGCCGCATTGCACTCTCCCTTCATGTCCATCTTCCTAAGCTGCTGCGAAAATACAAGCCGTAGTTATTTAACATCAAGTCGGCAGCTTTTGCTCCTCAATAGGCTTCAAAAATTTCTGCGCTGTTTTAAATGTATTATATTTATTTAGCCCTTCCATCCTCAACATCTCCCCGTCGTGCAACAAAGTTTAAAAATGAAAATTTGGCTCTTGTTTCGTTTTTGAGATACGCGCAAAAATGGAGAAGCTCGCCGATAAAATTTTTTATAAAACTGGCTCAACTTGAAATTAATTTTTTTCTTTAATTGAGTCCAGTATTATCTAAGAATAATTCTATGAACAGAAAAATAAATATATTTCGGGCAGAATTCTCGAAAAATTCGAGCAAATTGAAAACTTCACTCGGGTCTTTTCTCTTTCAGGCAACTTCTGTCGGAAGCACTCGGGCAAATTATTTTCAGGGCCTTTCAGAAACACCATTTATGGCGTATTTGTAGAATGTCTAGAAGTTGACACACAGCACTCTTCGCGTGCGCTGATTTGCAGAAGCCGTTGCGGGTGCAATTTAATCAAAATTATTACAAATACGTCCAATTTTAAGAAAATCGCAACTTTGGAAAAGTTCAATTGGCGGTTCTTCGACGGCCACAGGCAGAGTCGTTCATTCAATAAAATAAGTCGAAGCGTATTTTTTAAAGAGTAAATATTTCTGAACAAAATTGATTTAAAAAATGTGTTTTTATTTTTGCATTCTTTTCTTGATTTTGAGAAAATGAAGTTTATTTTTATAGAACTTGCGGAAATAATTGATTTGATCTGCAAATAAATCTCAAAGTAATCAAATTTAAAACGGCCGACGGAAATAAAATGAAAATGCTTCCAAAATTAATTTGGGTACACTGAAATTGTCCCTGGTCCCAGACAATTTTAATGCTGCAACTGCACTGTGCAGTGGGCCCTCCATTGGGCCCAGCGCGGCTTCCTTAACAGGGCTGTTGCTTCTCTTCATTACATGATTTGCTCACCTTTCATTTCGCTGCCTCTCTTGTAAAGAAAGAAATAAGTGTCAATCAACGCTAGGGCTGAGTCACAAAATTCCGAAATTACTTTCTTTTCAAAAGTGCATTTTCTTTGGATTTTGAAAAATATTTTTTCATTTTCGGACTCCTCGTCAAAAATTGGCTTCAGGAAAGTTTGAATTTCAGCTCTACGACAATTAGAACAGAATTTACTAAAATTAAAAATTAATTCATTGAATGAATAAAAATTAACAACTGTGTGTTCTAATTGTCGTAGAGGTGAAATTCAAACTTTCCTGGAACCAATTTTCGACGAGGAGTCCAAATATGCAAAAATGTTTCTCAAAATCCAAATGAAAAGCAATTTTAAAAAGAAGGGAATTTCGGAATTTGGGCATTGTGACTCGGCCAGCGTTGATTGACACTTTTCTCTCTTTATATAAGAGAGGCAGCGAAATAAAAGACGAGCAATTAGAGCAAATCACGTAATGAAGAGAAGCATCAGCCAAAGCCGCAGTGGGCCCAATGGAGGGCCGAAGCGGGCCCACTGCACAGGCCGTAGTTGCATATTATGGGACTTTGTGCCCTGATTAATTTTGGCGGTAGTTTTATTTACCCTTTATTTTATCTCCGTTTTCAAATTTGACAAGTATAGAGCCAAATTTTGAATTATTATTCGTTTGCGGAAATCAAAAAGCAATTTTGGATAATCAAAGTGAGCTGCAAGGATTCACAGCAATTTGCAGCGCTTCGGAGCCTGGTCTGGCCACTTTCCTGACCGCAAAAATCTGTCAATTAACTTCAAAATGATAAAAAGCCAGAAAGTTTTTCTTGGGCACACCTATATTTTTAGGTTTTGCCGGCAGGAAATTATTTGGTTTTGCCAGATTTTCTTTTTTTCGACGATTCAAACGTTTCGACGATTTTTCCACCAATCAAAGAGACGATGAATTTTGGTTTGCAAAGTTCTGACAAGTATTTTGTGCACTTGAAATATCCGCTTCGGAAAAGTGATAATTATTATAAGGTTTATTATGAAACTTGAGCGGAGCCAAGAAACGCATACGACGTTATCGCAGTGCAAATTGCACTATTTTCAAATAAAAAAGTTAACCGAGTGCGGCGAACAATTGAAATCATTTTTCTTGAGCAATCGCTTTCGATTGCCGACGACATACAAACGGCAGAAAAGTAAAATTTTTTGACACACTTTTTGCATTGAAGAAACAAATTTGCCATAGAAAGCAAAGATTTTTGAGAAAAAATTTTCAAGCGCGTGCGTCAACATTGCATAAATTTCTGCTGCAAATATAATTTCCATAAAATTTTCAAATTTTTGAAGCAACAATTGAAGAAGAAAAATCAAATTCATAAAAAATTTGCAGAAGCTATGCCTAAAACGCGAAAGCAGCAACCTGATGACTCTTCTTCAGAAGAAGAAGAGCCTGACCAGGCCAAGAAGGTAATTTTGAAAACAAACGCTAATGTGATCAAAAGTTAATTATGTCGTCTCTTCAGCTCGAGGCCAAGGTGGCAAAACTGGTCGCGCAAATGCAGGTGAGATGATCTGAAATTATCACTTTTACAATAATTTACGCCAAGTTGCACAAGTTGCATAATACTAATCCAACGCATAGCTAATTTTAATTGCGAGGCAATCAAAATAATCAATCTCTGTCATTCCGATTTTGTAGGAGTTAAAGGCTGGAAAGAAACCCAGTAAGGTGAGTTTAATTTAAAGGCAAAGAGTTTGGCCTTTCCGTTGATTACATTCGTGACCAACATATTTTTGTAACAGGGGAAAGCCGATTCTGCCGGTGCGGCGCAGAAAGACAAGGTCTGCCTCTCATTTTTATCACAAAGTACTGCACAACTTTGGCCCCCTCATTTTGACACTTAAATTAATAATACACGCAAGTGTGATTTTTATTTTTTTCCCTTAAAATTTTTAAAAGTCGCGTCTATAGGGTCAATTCGTTTCTTAATAAAAATAAAATAAAAAAATGCCTAATTGTATTTCGCTTCAGGCCAAAAAAGGCGTTGTCCAACTGAGTTCAGACGAAGATGAGGTGAGCCTTAAAGGGAACCCGTTTTTGCAGCTCATATGATGTTTGAAAAAAATTCATAGATAATAAAAAACCTTTACTTTTTAGACAAAGGCTTCGTCTCGCAGGGAGAGGAATGCTCCGATAGAGGTGACGCATTTATTACATGTTTGCACGGCAAAAATATTGGTTACAAATGTTTAGGATAAACTCTACTACATCACCGAAGGAGAAACTCTCGAGTACCTCCAGAGGGTACTCTCCCGTTTTGATCTACAAACAGGATTCACCTTGGAAGAAGTGCAGCAGGAAATGCTCCTGAAATTGGAAAAATGGTTCCAACTAGACAAAGTGGCCGGAGCAAAGGTGAGAGAGCAGAAAATTCCACCTTGGCCCCTCAATCGAGGCCCAGTTCCGAGCACGAATCGCGTCGTTCCGAAATTCGACGGGCCTCTCGAGCACCCTCGGCAGGGCGAATCGTTGCAGTCGACCTTGAGGTCACGGTTACGAGAATAACTAAGTTGCAACGATCTCAGCCCTCGGGAGGGTGCGCGGGCCGCACTCACAATTTCGAAAGAATCGTCGCCTGCTTGAAAAACTAAAAAGCTCGTTTCAACATTTTCATTTCAGAAGGCCAGCGACCAAGTCAAGGCGCCGCCGGCCAAAAGCACAGGCAAAAAATAATGCCGCCTCTGAAGGGTCCTAGCTTCTATTATATATTTGGGCAAATAATTAATATTCCTGCACGCCTAATAAACTCTATAAGACAATTAAAATAAATATAATTTTGTTTGCTATGATTGCTGAGCATACTTTCTTTTTATTATCCATGAAAAATGTTTGTTTTGTCCGCGCCCTCTGGTCCTGCGACTTATATGGACGATAATATTTCTATTGGTGCACATTAAAATTTAATACACGCCGGCAAACTCATTTCAACCCGTCCCAAACCGTTTCAAGTTCTTAAAAAATATATATTATGCTGCAAAGTCAATAATTTATTCCAGCACCGAGGGCCAACAAAATGTTATATGTGTACTTAATTACTGTGTCCTCACCTTTCTCACTCAAACAAACAAACGTCTGAGCATGTGGAATGGATGGAGACGTCTCCGATGCCCGCCCTGCAGGTCTACTCGTGCAGTCTCGGACGGCTTGTCGATGCGGACATCGGCGCCGGGTCTCGCACCTCCTCCGGACACTCTCTCTCGATGGACGAGGTCTTGCACGACGGCCGGCCTGAGGCGATTCCGCGGACAAACGCGTTTTCGCGGTGGCGGCGCCGCGTCTTATTTTCGTTCATTTGTTGCAGAATTTCAGCTCGGGACGGCGCGGTCGGCACTTCTTGTCTTGTTTGCGCGTGCCACGAGCAAGGTGCACGGAAAATTCCTTTAGAGATGCACCTGAATTGGCCACGGGGAAGGTGACCTCAGTCCCAATAAGACCTCAGTCCTGACGACAACAAACCAAAACAAACAATAAAGCGACTGCGGCGTTGCCAAACCTCGGCCCAAGGACGTGCGGCGTCAAGTCTCCTTGGCAATGGCCGAGCCACGCCCCCTTTTCACTTTTGCTCATTGTTTTAATAATTTTTTTCGTTTAGATTTTCTTCATTTTTGTGTGCAAGTATCGCTCGTGCTGGACGACAATATGTGCAAGTGGACGCTGTCCATCCGGCCAGAGCATAATGAGGGACTTTTCAAACACAAAACTGCCAAAAATGACCTTCTTTGTCTCGCAATCTCTTCATTTGGGAAAGCCAATCGGCTCGCACCTCTCTGTCTCAATCTTACAAGGTATAGATAATTTTATTATTGAACCTTAAATTTGTTAATCATAATTGTTTTTCTTCATTTAGGCATTCTACTGGCTTCCCCATTTGCCCAGAGCCTGATCAAAGTATTGCCTTGAGAGGAATAAATGACGTTAGTGAAGTTGGCGATATCGCCAACAGTTTTTGGCATTTTTTTAAAAGTAGGGAAGTTGGCGATATCGCCAACTTTTTGTATCTTAAAAAAGGGTTATAAAAGAATGCTGATTGCGTTGTAGGGGATGCATTTGGCTATTAAAAGTAACCCGTTATGCATAAGACATCTAAAAGTACATAAAATGTGGATTTTTCGCGAATTACATCCTCAAAGCCGGGTTCAGCCGCACTCTAACCCACCTCAATTTACACCCTTGACACCCATACATAAAAAAACAACCCTTACATCGCGGCTGAACCCGGCCTTCTAATTAAATTATTCACCCGAAGGTATTTTTATGGCGCCGAAGACACCTGAATATCGGTTTTTCGCGTTTTACACCCTCAAGGCCGGGTTCAGCCGCTTTCTAACCCAGCCCAACTTACACCCTTGACACCCTTACATAAAAAAACAACCCTTACATCGCGGCTGAACCCGGCCTTCTAATTTAATTATTCACCCGAAGGTATTTTTATGGCGCCGAAGACACCTGAATATCGGTTTTTCGCGTTTTACACCCTCAAGGCCGGGTTCAGCCGCTTTCTAACTCACCCTGTTCGACACTCTTGACACCCTTACATAAAAAAACAACCCTTACATCGCGGCTGAACCCGGCCTTCTAATTTAATTATTCACCCGAAGGTATTTTTATGGCGCCGAAGACACCTGAATATCGGTTTTTCGCGTTTTACACCCTCAAGGCCGGGTTCAGCCGCTTTCTAACTCACCCTGTTCGACACTCTTGACACCCTTACATAAAAAAACAACCCTTACATCGCGGCTGAACCCGGCCTTCTAATTTAATTATTCACCCGAAGGTATTTTTATGGCGCCGAAGACACCTGAATATCGGTTTTTCGCGATTCACACCCTCAAGGCCGGGTTCAGCCGCTTTCTAACCCAGCCCAACTTACACCCTTGACACCCTTACATAAAAAAACAACCCTTACATCGCGGCTGAACCCGGCCTTCTAATTTAATTATTCACCCGAAGGTATTTTTATGGCGCCGAAGACACCTGAATATCGGTTTTTCGCGATTTACACCCTCAAGGCCGGGTTCAGCCGCTTTCTAACCCAGCCCAACTTACACCCTTGATACCCTTACATAAAAAAACAACCCTTACATCGCGGCTGAACCTGGCCTTGAGGGTGTAAAACGCGAAAAACCGATATTCAGGTGTCTTCGGCGCCATAAAAATACCTTCGGGTGAATAATTAAATTAGAAGGCCGGGTTCAGCCGCGATGTAAGGGTTGTTTTTTTATGTAAGGGTGTCAAGGGTGTAAGTTGGGCTGGGTTAGAAAGCGGCTGAACCCGGCCTTGAGGGTGTAAAACGCGAAAAACCGATATTCAGGTGTCTTCGGCGCCATAAAAATACCTTCGGGTGAATAATTAAATTAGAAGGCCGGGTTCAGCCGCGATGTAAGGGTTGTTTTTTTATGTAAGGGTGTCAAGAGTGTCGAACAGGGTGAGTTAGAAAGCGGCTGAACCCGGCCTTGAGGGTGTAAAACGCGAAAAACCGATATTCAGGTGTCTTCGGCGCCATAAAAATACCTTCGGGTGAATAATTAAATTAGAAGGCCGGGTTCAGCCGCGATGTAAGGGTTGTTTTTTTATGTAAGGGTGTCAAGAGTGTCGAACAGGGTGAGTTAGAAAGCGGCTGAACCCGGCCTTGAGGGTGTAAAACGCGAAAAACCGATATTCAGGTGTCTTCGGCGCCATAAAAATACCTTCGGGTGAATAATTAAATTAGAAGGCCGGGTTCAGCCGCGATGTAAGGGTTGTTTTTTTATGTAAGGGTGTCAAGGGTGTAAGTTGGGCTGGGTTAGAAAGCGGCTGAACCCGGCCTTGAGGGTGTAAAACGCGAAAAACCGATATTCAGGTGTCTTCGGCGCCATAAAAATACCTTCGGGTGAATAATTAAATTAGAAGGCCGGGTTCAGCCGCGATGTAAGGGTTGTTTTTTTATGTAAGGGTGTCAAGGGTGTAAGTTGGGCTGGGTTAGAAAGCGGCTGAACCCGGCCTTGAGGGTGTGAATCGCGAAAAACCGATATTCAGGTGTCTTCGGCGCCATAAAAATACCTTCGGGTGAATAATTAAATTAGAAGGCCGGGTTCAGCCGCGATGTAAGGGTTGTTTTTTTATGTAAGGGTGTCAAGAGTGTCGAACAGGGTGAGTTAGAAAGCGGCTGAACCCGGCCTTGAGGGTGTAAAACGCGAAAAACCGATATTCAGGTGTCTTCGGCGCCATAAAAATACCTTCGGGTGAATAATTAAATTAGAAGGCCGGGTTCAGCCGCGATGTAAGGGTTGTTTTTTTATGTAAGGGTGTCAAGGGTGTAAGTTGGGCTGGGTTAGAAAGCGGCTGAACCCGGCCTTGAGGGTGTAAATCGCGAAAAACCGATATTCAGGTGTCTTCGGTGCCATAAAAATACCTTCGGGTGAATAATTAAATTAGAAGGCCGGGTTCAGCCGCGATGTAAGGGTTGTTTTTTTATGTAAGGGTGTCAAGAGTGTCGAACAGGGTGAGTTAGAAAGCGGCTGAACCCGGCCTTGAGGGTGTAAAACGCGAAAAACCGATATTCAGGTGTCTTCGGCGCCATAAAAATACCTTCGGGTGAATAATTAAATTAGAAGGCCGGGTTCAGCCGCGATGTAAGGGTTGTTTTTTTATGTAAGGGTGTCAAGGGTGTAAGTTGGGCTGGGTTAGAAAGCGGCTGAACCCGGCCTTGAGGGTGTAAAACGCGAAAAACCGATATTCAGGTGTCTTCGGCGCCATAAAAATACCTTCGGGTGAATAATTTAATTAGAAGGCCGGGTTCAGCCGCGATGTAAGGGTTGTTTTTTTATGTATGGGTGTCAAGGGTGTAAATTGAGGTGGGTTAGAATGCGGCTGAACCCGGCTTTGAGGATGTAATTCGCGAAAAATCCACATTTTATGTACTTTTAGATGTCTTATGCATAACGGGTTACTTTTAATAGCCAAATGCATCCCCTACAACGCAATCAGCATTCTTTTATAACCCTTTTTTAAGATACAAAAAGTTGGCGATATCGCCAACTTCCCTACTTTTAAAAAAATGCCAAAAACTGTTGGCGATATCGCCAACTTCACTGACGTGAATAAATGTGCCCGGTTGCCGTGAAGAGTAAACTATATTTTACCACAACCTCTTTGGACTGCAATTCAAAGAAAAATCTGCAGCGGTAGTGCCTTAATATTAACACTTCAAATTTTTTCATTTCAAAGTGTAATCCACAGGCTCTCACTCGGAACTACAAGTTGGCTGAAGACTATGCTCTCACCTGGAAAGACGGTCCGAGGAATGAAGATGCCACTCGTCTTGTCCTGCCGCAGGGAGAGCGCTGCAGCCCCTACAGCGAAAGGTTTGTGCAAATTCACCCTTTAAAAACTTTGAATGACGCAGCAAATTCATTCCCTGCAGGAAAAGTCCAACATCCCAAAGGAACTTCGCACCTTCGCAGCAAAAAACTGGTCCGAGATCTTCATGGGCAACTTTCATCAGGCCGAAGTCACGTCAGAGCAATAATTAAAATATTTTATTTCAATTTTTTTTTTAAATTATCGTTTTATGTTAGGGAAATTTTATAATTTGATATGTGCAAAATGTAAATAAATTTTATAGAAGGAACTTGTATAAAATGTATCAAATTTTGGATGTTATGTGTCAAAGAAGAACGCACATAAAGAATTTTTTCTAAAAAGAATTGTAATTATGGACCATTTATGATTAAAATTTTATTCCTTAATTCTTTTACAGTTAAAATGTTCGTTTTATTTAATGAAATAATTCAGGTTTATATTTCAATATTCAATACCTGCCACAATAATTAAAATAAAAGCAATTCATTTCTATCGATTTAGTTAATTCATTTTCCCAAAAGTAATAACAAAAATGATTTAACAAGGGTTAAAAATTTCTTTAAACAATTTAAATTTCATAAAATTTGTTTGTTTGGCCAAAGAGTTGTTATTGAAGACAAGGGCAGGGTGCTGCACGTTGCTACAATCGGGAGAGATTAAAGACGAGTTTAGCCTGAAGCGGACTTTTTCTTGCATAGTTGCTTGCACAATTCCTTCGTAAACAGGTCCTAAATGAAATATAGGAAAATATATGAAAAATCAGGTGTAAAATATTTAACACAAAATTACCTCCTCTAAACATTCTTCACATGAACTGAGTCACCAAAAAGAAAGGAGGGCCGTCTTTCAGTCAACTTAGGAACACTGGCAGAGTACGAGTCCCTGTCCTGCAGGTCTTTCTCTAAAATGGAGCAGGACAGATTCCACCTTTGCATCCATCTCTAGGACGAAGACACGAAAAGAACCAGATTTACTCGAGTCGGAAAATGATTGATGGAATAAAAGAATTAATAAGTTGGCGCTTAATTGTCACGAATTGCAATTCAAGCTTTCGTGGAGTTGATTTTTGAGTCGCGATTGCAAAACTTTGTAAATCTTTTTGAAAATTAAAATTAAATTAAATTACTGTTTAGGAATTTGAGGTTTGGTTTAAAATTCTTCCTTGGCTGCGCTCTGACAAAAGAAATAGTGATTTTTTTCTGCGGAAACTCAAATTCCAAATACTGACCAAATTTGAATCTTTTTTCCATTCTGGGCCAAGGAAAGAAAATTCCTGCCGCAGCAGACGGATCGCAAAAGTATAAGAGTAGCCTGGGCGAGATGATTTTCCTAAAAAGAAAAACACGGGATAATAAACTATCACTTGGAAATAATTTGGCCACTTTGTCGACAAAATATTTATACGATATAATGCGGGCTGGCCTGGCCATTCTCATTTTTGTCAGCAATTGTGAGAGGAATTGTTTCGTGAAAGGTCTCGACCAGTCTCGACACACACCAGCGCCGCTCAATGTATATAAACTCTGAAAACAAAACGGACATAGATTAATTAGATTAGATAAAAGTCTTTTGCGATCCGAAAGCAGAATTCTGCCTGCGCGCATCATTTTGGCGCGCGAATTCGAATCAGTGCAAGTGTCGGGGTCACGTGACAATTCAAGCCAATGAGGCCAATGAGCGCTCAAGGCAGCCATTCCTGGCTGCCATCTTTCTTTGATCTTTCCTTATTTTTGTTTTGAAAACTAAAAGGTCGGCACGGTGCTCGTGCTCGCAGCCTGCAAAGGCAATTTTTAGGTGAGAAAAACTCCCCTCGACCCTTGCCTCCCCGTCTCAAACGACCCTTCAACCCCCAAACGACAATTGGAGGCGCGAGAATTCTGTCACCGCCCCCGAATGGGCAATTTCTTGGCTCGACCTCGACCTCTCTCTTTCTTGAGTCTCGCACTGAAAGCAAGGAGTTTAGAACCAAACTCCTTGACTGAAAGGGACCTTGATCGGTTTCAGGTCGGTTGGTACCTGAGATTAATCCAGACACGATTCTTCGCCACCGGCTCCGATTTTGAGGCCGAGAACTCGTCATAGGAGCCCAGCCGTCTTCAAAAAGTAATAATTTTTTGTTGCGAATATTTGGATTGTTTTATGTTCTGTCATTTGTAGCGTTTAAAGAGCTGACTAGGGCGTACAGAAGGCCCTGCCCGTGGTGACCAAGGAGGAGAACAGGGTCACGCCTAGGTTTTACGTCCGCATCCTCGCAGAACTCGAAACTCGACGCCTTTGTCAACGAGGTCTGGGAAGACAAGGGTCTCAAAGGTCTGTCCCTCAGTTTGCTTCCTTTCTTAACGAACTTTTATGGCATTCAACCATGATTTTGTTCCAACTATTATCTTACCAAGAATTTAAGAATGAGGAGTAAATTTGTTATTGCTGTTGTATTTGCAGGAAGAACATGTCAAAAAACAACTCATTGGCCTTGATGAGGCAGAAGCTGAGAAATACAGCAATGGCTTTGAAAAGGACGATGACGAGGCCGATAAAGGTTTCTAAACACAGTTTCCTTCCAAGTTCCTGGAACTTTGCAATCCCAATCATTAAATAAATAAACTTAAGGGAAATTCACAAACCGAGTTCCCCATTTTGTGATTTTTTGGAGCATGGAAATTAGTTGCACCAGCAAATCCAACCATTTGAATTTGTTTGTTTTTGAGACTGAAATCTTATTAATGGGAAAAATTCACCAACACTTAAAGTACTGTTTTTAAAAATGAAATTTGCATTTTGCAGATGAGGAAGTTGTCTCCGACGCAAAACCGACAGCCAAGAAGTCCACGTTGAAGTAGGAGCCGGAGAAGTTTGCCAAGAGGGAGGACGAGAGCAAAGATTGGGGCAGCGACTCTGAGACATTGTCTTCCGAGTCCGAGGAGGACGCGTACGTGAACATCAGGGATCGCTTCCTGAAGAAGACCACCGAGAAGGAGGATGAGGAGACCATAAAGGAAAAGAAGGAGCGCCGGGAGCGCGAGGAGGAGAACGGCAACGGCAGTTGGGAGACCGTCAAAGGGAGCGTCGCCATCCCTTGGCTAGAAATCAATTTCAAACATCATTAATCAAGTAGCTTGATTTTGTATTTTATTTATTTTAACTCTGACGGTGATGTTGACCTTTTGGTCACCAATCAATTCTTCCTGACCTAAACTTTACAATGTTAAATTTAATTTGTAAAGCAGCACTAATGTGAAATGCATTTTTGTTTCCATTTTATTCCCAATTTTAATTTCAAATACAAGTTTATTCTATTTCATGCCTTGTTCCTGTTAATTGAGTTTTAAGCAGTGTTAATTCTGATCAAGACTTAACACTTGTCTTTGCATTTTGTTGCAGGAGAAGCCGAAAACAAATGCGGAGGACGCAAAGACCGACATTATAAATTGAAAGTGAAGCAAAATCATGGCTCAAAGAAGCCTCGGGCCCTTTGCGTCCACCTCAACATCAAGCCCGACGCCATGAAGCCCTGAATGCTGGGCAAAGTTCCAAACGCGGTGCTTTCTTATCGTTGGTACGGGTGCGTCCTTAGGTCAGTTGCACCTCCACCTGACCAACAAAGCCAGGTCTCACCCCGTTCTGTCTGCAGGCTGAAGGGCGAACTGAAGGCCCTTGCTCATCCTGAGGTCCTTGGGGAGTGGCGGAGGCGCGTGACCCGCGGTTCGGCCGCGCTTCCCTGGCGCGGGTGGGGTTGACGCGTCGCCAGGGTAAGCCGCCCTCACCTGCGATTCACCCTCGCAGAGGGGCGCACTGGATCCCGGCGCCCAACCCGAAACAGTGCCTAGGAGGAAAGACCAGGGTCGTTAAGCGTGTCCCCCGCCACCCCCTTGGCCCTTCCCTCTCCAGTTACAGCAGAATAATAATTATTTGGTAAGAAATCAAACATAATTAAATTATCGCTCAAAACTGAACTCGTCTGTGTTCTTTGTAAAGAGATACAGCTTTTTATTTTTATTCGTCGTTCGATCTTAACCTTCAAGGTCACCAATGGTTTCGCCGTGACCTGAGCTTTCCAACGATGTGTCACGCTTGGTACTTTTGAGCTAATTTGCATTTGGTGGTGGGGGAACCTTTCTGGCCAATCAGATCGCTCGATTTCAACAATCGCCGTTTTCTCCTAAAATCCGACGGTGACCTTGACCTCTTAGATCATTATTTAACTCCGGTCGACCTGGCCTTTTCAATAGTGCATTTCTTTTGCAAGTGTGTCCAGAATTTATTCAATTGGACCGGTCAATTTTGTCTAAAAGTTTCACAACACTGGTTTTATGTTTGATTTTATTACAACCTCAGTCCCTGACCCCATCAAGGGTCACCTTTTTTAAAGCAATTTTTCAAACAGGAAGAATTCTGTTGAAAACACGAAGACTTTTATGAAAATTTGATTCGATTTGGATAAAAAAAGGGTTTTTTATGAAATTGAATGTAATTTGATCTTGTTCTGCTTGAAATGTGCTGACCTGAGAGGGTTTTGTGTTTGCAGGCGAGCAGGTGGGAGTGGAAAAAGCTGCCGTGCCCGCGGCTCGGCCACAGCTTCACCCTGATCGGCAACAAAGTCTTCCTCTTCGGAGGACTCGCCAACGACAGCGACGACCCGAAGAATAACATTCCCAGGTACTTAAAATTACATAATTTATTCTCACCTTTGAGTCCAAGTTTGACCCAGGCCAAATGTCAAGTTGACCTTTTGTAATTTCCGACAACGATTTTTTAAATTTTTAATCGTAATAATTTAATTCAACGACTTTATTTTTTATTTTTGTTAATTTGATTTTATAGTCGGCTTTTCCTCGATGGGTTTTCTGAGTTACTTCGACCTCCATCAAGAAAGCACATGAAAATTGGAAATTAATTGCCAAAAAAAAAAGATTTGCTAATCTAATAATAGAAATTTCCTTTTCTTTCTTTGTTCAATTTGACTGAAAATCTTTACTATGTCTTATGATATCTTCAAATTTTCCAATTTATTGCTCAAGTCAAATGTTTGCATTCATCAACTTGATTGGAGGATCATAACTTAAAAATGTGATGAAAATAGGATTGTAAACTTAATGGATGGTTTGGCGTTGCAGAGAAGATGGCGTGGGAGCAGCTGAACATGGACGTGTTTGAGGAGAACGCGCCCCGAGCCAGGGCAGGTCACTGCGCCGTCGGCATCCACTCGCGCCTCTACGCCTGGTCCGGCCGCGATGGCTGCAGAAAGGTCCGAGCTAAACTCTTTTCGAGTCGCCGTTACTGTCCCTAAATTGATTTCCCCTAAAACTTCTACATTTCCCTTGAATTCAGAACCACTAAAAGCATTTCTCCTATTCTATTTATTTCTAAGATATGCTCCTTAAAATATTTGCCTTAAAATTTGATTTCACAACCGAAATAAATGAAAACTTGAAATAATAATTGAAGCAACGAATCTCCTTACATCAGGATGGTGTGACTTGCTAATTCTTGGTGCAAAAAGTACAGAGAGTTATTTGTTCTTTTATGGCGCCTATTATGAACTGAGGATAAATGACACTTAAAATGGAATTCTTTAAATTCAAAAATCACTGAAATGGGATCCTTGTTTGGAACCATTTGTAGCAGGCAAGAATGACAAAGCCTTGACTGACATCTTAATTTTAGTCAAATCGTCAGTTTTTTTTTCAATTTATTTGAACTGCACATTAACAATTTTAATTATGTAAATAAGACTTAAATACTTAATAAATTTCACATGCGTCCTTCCATTCCAAATTAAAGAGTTAACATTTGATTGCATTCATAGGCATTTTAGGACATTATTTGAAAGTAAAACTTTTAGGGGAAATGTTTTTAGGGACAACAAGGGGCTCCCCTCTTTTCTCCTGAGAAAGATTGTCTGAATGGCTGTTATGTTTTGCAGATTTGCTGCAAAGACCTTTGGTACCTGGAGGTGGAGAAGCCGCCGGCGCCAGGGCGGGTGCAGCTGGTGCGCGCGTCGACGACCTCGCTGGAGGTGTGCTGGTCGCCCGCCCCCTCCACCGACTTCTACCGCCTCCAGGCCCAGAATTACGACATGCCCCAGGAGAAACCAACCCCCGAAAAACCATCCCCACCTGCCGCCACGCCCACCACCCCTGATCTAAAAGGTAAATCACCCTTCTGCTCGGTCCGAGCCAAACTGCAGGTCGGAGGTCACTCAGCTGACTTCTAATAGGTTTTTTAACCAAATTTATAACGACCAACAAAATACGAAATTAAAATTTGTTTTTTATTTTGAATATTTGTGATTCAAATTTGGGGTTTCAGTCAACTTTGACTTGAAACCTTTGGTGCTCTCAATGACCTCTGACCTTGCAAATTTAGAGTTGGTTGAGTTTTTTAACTTGGAAGTGGATCTGTAAAACTGATCAGACGTAACAGAAGTTTCAGAATCTCCGCCGACGGCCGCGCAGAACATGTCAGGCATCCAGGCATTGGCTGCAGCGGCCGCAGCCACCCAGAAAATCCCAGGCGTCCTCCGCCTCGTCCCCTCCAACGCCACTCCCCCAAAAACTCCAGGTTCGCTTTTTAGCTAATTGACTCTAGACATTTTTTTCTTGAAAGTTGCAATCAAAATTGGTAATTGTCAAAATGAAATTTAATTGCAGTGGCAGTCGGTGGTGCGAGCGGTTCAACGTCAATTAAGTTCCTCGTGAGCCGCACCAAATTCAAGCTCCAACATTTGGCTCTCAGTTCAGACTGTAAGACTTTGGGAGAGGAAATTCTTTTTCCCACCAAAGACGTGCTTGCCAAGAAACCGCAGGTATAAAATTGCATCTTGATCTTTTCTCTTCTTTACAAAACTCGTGTTTATCAGGTGCACAAGGAAAATTATCGCGACCTGATGTGCTTTCCTCGCAATTGGACACTCTAATGGACTCTGATGATGTCCAGCAGCTGGAAGAGTCTTTGCGACAGGTTTTTATATTTGACAATTAAGTGAGTTGTTCTCAACACTTTTTATATATTCCAATCAAAAGAGAAATGGGGGCTGGTTCAACCGTTTCCTCAACCCGCAGTGACCAGCAACATTTTGAGGGGCAAATTGAAGCTTCACATCTTTCTATTGCACTGGCAAGACCTTGGTCGAGACCGTCCTCCAGATCTACAAACTGGTCCCAGACTGCAGGCAATTAAGAACAAAAGAAATGGTTTTCTCCGAGTCAAAAATTTACTTAATTGTGATAGGATTCAGGTGGCCACTTTTAACAGCAGTGCTGCTGACCTCGTGAAGGAACTGCCCACCCTAGATTCAAGCCAAGCATTTTGGCAGACCTGGCCGATGCGAGTCACAATGACCTCGAAGAGCCGACGTGCTCTCGAAGGTCCTCGGTTCTGCCGAATCAGGACAACCGTGTGGAGGTGGACCTGACCAAAATCATCATAATGGCACCTGCTCTGCAGTGGGCCGCTTGTGTCTTCTAAACAATTGTCCGTGCCATTGTGAGTATCTTCAATGATCTTAAATTTGCCTCATTTCTAATGAACAATGCATTTTTAATCAATTCGAAAGAGGGACAATTAAATTAAATTCGATAAACATATGTTTTCTTTTTGTTCCTAGATTGATGAATGTGGACAGGCCTCTGAGCCAGAGACAAGGTGTGCGCCGATGCCCTGATGGGCAAACCGCGCCAAATCTTGCTGGCCGGCGCCCCAATCAAGGTGGGTTCCGTCACCACTGGTCGCATTGCCTCCCTGGGGGGCTGGACATGTCTTGGCTGTCCCGACTTCTGCTGTCTCCCATTTACTCTAGGTAGGCTACTTTAATAAACACGCTCGCTGCACTTCCTCAACTCTTTTCAACTTGTGCATTCCAAACAAGAAGACCAAGCGTCTCAAATCATGTTCTGTCAGTGGTGCACCGAATCTGCCACGCTTGTGTCTTTTGCTACCAAATTCCATTCGACACGAGCAACACATTTGCAACTTTTATTACTCTAATAACCTTTTTAGGACAAAATTTTACATTTTTGCAGTGTAACTTTTTTAATTTCTTTTTCATTTTATAACTTTATCACAAGTTTTGAAAAAATAATTATGCACGCATATTTTCCCGCAGGACACTTTTTGTCCCCATTTTTACCACAATATTATCATAATTTTCAACTTTTATGTAATTATTGTCACGTTTTTAATTTTAAACTTGAATTTTTTCTTGATTCAACTTAATTGCATTGATTTCCTTGATGGTTCTTCAATTTTGGTGGGAAAAAAGCAGTGAATTGTCCACGCCGTCTTCCATTTAAATCGCATAATGCGATTTAGTGTATCAAATTTTGATCACTTTATTGGTGAGAACTTAATATTTTCTTGTTTTTTCTTTTCAATTATAGACTCTTTAACTTTATAAAACACTTTAATTTAAATTTTATTGAGGAGTTTCCTTGCTTGGGCATCAATTTCAAGGAGAGATCCTTTCGTCAAACAGAATTGCCGAATCAAAGTTTGGATTCGGATCAATTCTTTGGGATTCTTCGAGTTCCAGGAGAATGACAACCACGCCATCTCAGTGAATAGGTAAAAACTTTCAGCAATTGCCTTTCCTTTACATTTTGATTTTCTTTTCAAAATCCGAGATGGAACGCAATTTCACAGATTGTAAAAAAGATGGCATTAAAAAACAAAACAAAAATTTTTGACAAGAATCGTTTCGCTAATTTTAAATAAGCTTTATTTTCCCACGAATGATTTTCCAAGAGGTTCAGGTGTGGAAATTTTAAGTACAAATCTGCCCTATGAATTCAACTTGAGCTTACAAATAAATATCAAACTGAGTCTACTGAAGTTGGCAATAAAAGTTCATAAAGCAGGAAATACAGATTTTTCGTAATACTCGTTTTTCGAATAGAAAAAGGCATGTTTTGAGTGCTGAAAAGATAAAAACTTTATTGACGAAAAGTTGCGACCTGGGTATCATACCCTTTTTTTCAACGCTTTCCTTAATAAAGGCAAATTCAACCCTCCCCAGAAAAAGTGAATTTTCAAATGTAAAAAAAGTATGGTTTTTCGGAACGAAACGCTGCTCTGCACATTTTTTTCGCATTACATTTGAGCATATTATGATTTCATATTATTACTACCTCTCATAAATATTTTAAGCAAGATTTGATTATGGCAAATTCAGGCCTCGTCAAGTGGCTTGCAGGAGGCGTAAGGGATGGAAAATTTGAATATATAGTCACGTTTAATAGAGCATTATATAATGATCGACGGAGCAGAGCATTATAAATCTAAGTGTTCAGACTTAATTGTGCTTAACTTTCATTGCAAAAGTGCGCTTGTAATTATTAGGTAATTTTTTAAATGAACCTATGATGCCAAAAAGCTACTCTTTATTTGTGCCCGCCTCATTTGAGAGAGAGATTCCGCTCTTGTTGTATCAAGTAAGAAATGCGCGGCGCTTATTTCGAAAAGTGTAAGAACGCGGTCAGTCTGATCTTGTCGAGAATGAGCAGATTTGGTGTCGCCGCAGCCACCAGGGTTGCAAATGTGAAGAAATAAACCTGAGCAATGTTCTCAAAATTAGAAGCTAGTTAATAATAATTTACTGTAAAAAAAGCAAGCAGAAAATTAATTTAATACAAAAAGCATTTTTCATAAAGCAAATAATTTTGATTTAAAAATTGAAAGTCGGTTTTTGTATCGCTGCGGAAGGTTGTCTGCTCTGTTCCTCTGCGAGGAGTTGATCGCCAGCAAAAGTCCTCTGTTAATCTCTCTCTCTTTTTAATTTGTTTTTAACTTGTGTTTTCAACTTTTTATCGTTAGTTTTGTGTGATAAGCAGAGGATGGAAAAGCATTCCGATTGTAACAGGAAGAATGAGGTAAAGATAATTTTACTATTAATAATTCGCATTCAAATTACTGGTTTTGATTTTTAAACGCCGAATTACTTTCTTATTCAAAGAATTATAAAATCGTTTACATTTGCTTATTCCCATATGAATTGTGCACTGAGCTCGGCCGTCTCATCGCAGTGTCAAGTATTAATTAAAATGAGATTGAACACTGACGTTTTTTCTCTGTTTGAAATTAATGGCATTTTTGATGCCATCGCCAGCGGGCCGGCCGGTGCGTGAGAATGATTTGCATTCTCTGCATTTTCTGCTTGCGATTTGAATGCACCGAGTTTGTAACCGCACTCGACGACCTTTTGCATTTCTTCGAGTCTGTCATGTAGTCTGTCCTCTGCTTATTTTCGTTTTCACATCAAACATTATTCTGACGCTCTGCATAAATTTCTTTTTACTGCTACGCATGAGATTTATAAAAATTAATATAAACACCATTTTTACCACACAAATGCACAACTAATTAAATGTTTACTTTTAAATCATTGAAATTAGTATCGGAAAAACATCATAATTAATTGCTATGCAACTTATTTATGAGATTGTTCTTGTTCATACAAGAAAACTATAGAAAAAAACGCGTAAAAAAGGAAAACGCTGAATTCGATTTATTTTTCTCGTTAAGTAAACCAATCAAATATTTATGCTTAAATTGCTGAACCTTCTAAATTTACAGCGCGACTGCAAGAGAAGAAAGGAGCAGGAACTTGTCTGGGGAGCAGCTGGTCCATTTGGAACAAGAAAGTCCAGAAAAGCACCCTCCGACGCCACTCCTGTCAAAGTAAGAATTTTTTGTCACATTGATGCTACTTAGATCTTGGGGAAATAATTTTGCACTTAAAAATCAAATCAGTGCGCGCAAATAAAATATTGGTTTTTCCTAGTCATTGGAAAATAATCCAAATCATGCAAATGGACCGTCGAATAATCATGCTCGGCCAGTGACGTTGGGGAGGCAGTAGGTGCGACACTGTCTGCCGATTCGTAATAAGAAATTACATAAAATCAAAGTTGCATATTGAAATTATATACCTGGGACAACTCACGATCTATTGACCACTATACCGCACCTAATTATTATAAAACCGTGGAAATATTTGTATATAATAAATTGAATATTTAACAATTTCTCATATAAATCCAAACAGAAGACCATATATGATGGGCATGATGGCTTAATTATGGAAGTGTGTTCTTGTTGGAATATTGATTTTTGTTATCTAAAAAAATGTTCATCTATTTGACGAAGCTCGTTTTTTTTAATTCTACGTCTTCGCCCTCTTTAAGTAATTTAAAATGTCAATTTCTTCACTTATAAGTGAAAAAAGAGGTGGCAGTTCAGTGGCTATTCGCTTTTGTATACATATAAAATCGTTGGGAAGGAACATGAGTAAACAGGCCAGGTTTGATTCAAAGAAAATAATAATCCAATTGCAACCCCAGAGCGGCGCGCCTCATCAGAGCGCTCCTTTGTGGAAGACGCGCCTTGTTCTCCTGAGCTGAGCTAGTCCGCGCATTCGGCGCCAGGCGCGCCGCAGTGTCCACATAGATCGCTCCTCTTGCGCCAGGCTCAGCGCACATTTTTGGCAACCGCGCCTTTGTAAAACCACTCCTCGCTCTAAAACGCGCCCGCTTCGAAACTCTGGTTTCACGCAGATACAGAAAAACATTTCAAATTTGTTTTTTTTTTTCTTTTTCCGAATTTCAGACCAGATCAAAGAAGCAGCTGGAATCACCTAAGCAAAAGGTAAATTGATAATAATTAATTAAATAAGTGGTGTAGTCATTTTTATAAGTTCACATTCAAATAAGTCTCACTTGTGTAGAATAAGTACCAGTTGTACATGTAAATCGCATTTGCAACAAACGTGAAATGAACATTATACAGATGCGATCGACTTATGTACACTTGATTATTATTTTTATGCGAGACTTACTGCTATGAAATGATGTTAATAACAATTCAACGCATGTTCAAACTCGTCAAATGTTTTCTGAAAGTGTTTCGCAATTTGTTATTTCATTAATATATTATTGTATTTTAACGCTTAGGAAAATGAGCCGTGTGGCAGTTCCGAAAGTCAAGCCCAAGAGCAGCAGAAGGCACATCGTCTATACGGACAAAAGTGAGCTATTTATTATTTAAATATTTTTTAATTTTTTTATTTTAAGGATCAGAGGACAAGCTTATGTCAGCCTCTACTCTTTATTACGGGCACAGAAATTACTACTTATTTTTTTAATTATAGTTTCACTTTACTTAAAATCACATCATTTTTTTTCCTGGTATATTTCCTTAATTGCGAGTCTTTGCAATTTTTTTAACTGGCTAATATTTTTGTAATTATTTTGTTATTAATTTTCTGTAAATGAATGCGATTAGTAGTGGCGTAGTGGTTTGAGTGTTAGGCTACCAATACGAAGGTTCAGAGTTGAATGCTTTGACGTTGTTAGCGCGTCAAAAAGTGCTCTGTATCGTCACTCATGTTCGGGAGGTGTCGCAAGGCGCCGAACTTGCCTGCTCGAGGTTTGTGCCGTTTCCTCGAGTTGTTTGAGTTCCTGCACCAAATGGGGGCATTTCATACAGTCCAGCGGCATCTGGCTAATTTGGTAGGCTTTCCAGCCGATAAGCACCGAATGGAGCTTGGCAGGATCATAGACTATCCAGATGAATAAAAAAAAAATTTTAAATTTATTTTTACTATATATATATGCTGATAAACTAAAATTTATAATTCTTCAAATATTTATTAGGTGCATGAGTTTTTTCTGCTCTAATTAAAGTTGTTTGTGTAAAGTGCAAAGCAGTTTCAGTGTTTTATTTTTCATGGTATTATTGAAACTGTGCAAAAAATCTTGCCTAGAAAGAATGGAATACATCACAAAATTTTTATTTTTAATTAAGCAATTTATTGTAAATTATAAGCTTAGTAAACTCACGTAAAAATCTCTTAAAAATACATTTTTTTTTTATTTAACTCGGTATAATGCTCTAATACGTCAATTAATGTTAATTGCGCACTAAAAGTCAATGCTTTGACTGAGCGGCAGTTAAAGCACGCTTAAAATTGATTTAAAATTATTTTTCTATAAACCACTTCATAGCAAAAAGACGTGGATAAGTCAATAAATTATGAAAATGCATTCAAAAATTAAAGTCCCTCACACTGATCACCTGCAGGCATTGGAAGGTCTGGTATCGGAACCTGATGCACGCGTCTGCCTCTTTCTGCGTTGTTCGCAATCTTGCTGCGCCCAAAATGTTGCTAGAGAAGGACGAGTATATCAGCGAGTGCACACGCCGTTCCAGCATGTTCGGAAAAACAAAATTCAGGAAATTGTTGGCCGGAAAGGATCCTTCCTGCCCCGACTTCCTTCCTGAACTGGTCAAGCGTAAGAGCGGAAATTTAAACAAGTTTGTAATGTATGCAATTTCCACTCTAAGCGTTCTTCAATAATCTAGATTTTGAGTGGCTGCAAAAAACCCTGATCAGGTGCAAATTCACATAAAGAAGCGCAACGAGGCGGAAAACAAGAGCGCGCGAATTCCAGAACCAGAATTCCTTCCGTGGGGGCTCAAGACCATAGTCGATTCGAGCGAAGCAAAGAAGAGTGGTCAAAACGATTTAAAGCCCATTTTCTTTCCAGAGAGGTGGCACTCTGGAGGTAATTTTTTTTTTTTAAACCATATGAGTTTAACATATCTCTTGAACTCCGAATATTCAATTTTTTTAATCTATCTGTTATATGAATATCATAAGAGGCCGCGCTTAAACTGCCGATCGAAATACAACATAGATCGATAATTTTTTAAATGATAACACCCTGTTCATAGGTCACCCCCATGAGGTTAAAAAAAATCCCAATATTATTTCGAAATTTTATTTTCCAAAAAACCTCAAAATTCAAGTTTTTAATTTTACTATGTGAGATATAAACTTCTAACCGATTCTATAACGCCCGACACCTTTTCAATGGTGACCAAACGTGTACAAACACGTTTAAAGGTCACTTTCAGACAAATTTCGACTTTGAAATTTTCAAAACGAACTTTTTTGTAACCAGGATACATTTAAATTTTTGCTGGAGAAAACTTGTTTTTGACCGACTCCCAATAGTCAGTGCTATTTTCTCAATCCCAAGAAAATATTTTGATGCTAATTTCCTGAAACAATTTCACGGTGACCCTTCTTTTAATGCTGAATACTTGATGGCCCAAATACCAGACATATATTTTCTTTCAAAAAGTGATTCTAGAGGAAATTTGAAATAAATGAATAATTTTAGATTAAAATGCCGAATTTAAAAAAAAAACTTCCACGCTGGCCCATAAGATTTTCCTAAATTTTCCATGTAATCTATTCAATTACTTCCTAAATTTTAGTCCTTAATGGCAATTAATCACATTGATGCACTCGCATCCACTTTTTAGGCGAGGAGCAGCTTGTCGAGTGGCCAGAACCTCCATTTGCAGTGGACAAAGGTTAGTCATATAAAACTGTTGTTGAATTCCTTTTTTACAAAAATCACCAAATTGACACGTTTAGATTTCTTTCAATCTTGTTCTTCCGTTCCTTTCCAAACATTATATTTTCATGTTTATTCTCTTTTACAGAAGTCTTGCCAAGTATTGAAGAGAACTTGATTTTCCTGAACTCTTCAAATACCTACAAAAGTGGTGATAAACGTGTTAAAATGACTGAATTTTGTGCGTATGCCTGCATTTACAACATATTTTTGTCGCTGATTGGAGACGTGAGCAGTCTTCCCTTTTTATGTCGAATTTCCTATTTTATTGAAAAAATTTCAATTCCAGAAATACACTAATTTTGCAAGAGCCGTTGTAAGCAAGTCCAGTCCTAAGCCGCCGCTGCAGTTTCTTTCTCTCGCCATGCAGGGCACCGAGTTCGAGTTCCTCACACACGAAATGGTTTTCTTCGCAATGCAATCGATCAGGATGGTGTGAGATGTATTTATATACAAACGCTAAAATATGCGCAAAAAAAGAAATTAAAACGACTGATGAAAAGTAATTAAATATAATTGAACAAATGCAACATTCAAAACTGTCTCGAGTCGTTTTTATGCTGAAAGGTGTTTCAGTGAAACGTATTTTTCATTCGAATTGCATCGGATCTGCTTTTTTTTAACAAATTGTAAACAACTTGTTATTACTACTATATTGTTAATTGTCGAATGGCATGCGGTCTAATTTTATTGGACACCGCGCCATCATAGTACGAAGAGATTCCAAGCGAATAATATATTGTTTGTAAAATTATCAGTAATTACAAACGCGTGCATTTTTACTTGCTTATTCTAGAAAAAAAAAACAATCTCCTTTTCATGAATCATTTTTACAATTGGAATGCAGCGTTTTTTTCAGTGCAAAAAGAAAGATTTTGGGGAAATTGCAGATTCTCTATTGATAGTTCGGTATAACATCATTCAAATGCAAAATTTAATCACATTGTTGCTCCCATCGCGCATATTTGCATTGGTGGCGGGGGAAACCCTTCGGACCAACGAGATCGCTTATTTACTGTAATCGTTGTTTTCATCGCAAATATCGGTGTGAACTTTAAATTTTTGGGTAATCTTACAAGAGGCGTGACCTATACACCACTCTCTCAGAATTAGGTTGGTATCCCGTTTTATGTCGCGCCTGCTGTAGTGGTTTTATGTCGCGCCTACTGTAGTGGTTTTATGTCGCGCCTGCTATAGTGGTTGATAAAGAAAACCGGTATTTATACCTCACAATCACCGGGACTGCAGGAAAGAATAAGGGCCTTTGGGATGGGTTCAGAAGGGGAAGACAATCTTAACTGATTGCAAAAGACGTGACCTACCACCAAAGTACGGGGAAGGGGGTTGTTTTTATATGTCGCGCCTCTTGTAATGGTTCACTACAACAGGCGCGACATATGCACGCAACGCCTGTGGTAGGTCGCGCCTCTTGTAATCGACCACTACAACAGGCGCGACATATATAATTAATAATGTTAAAAAAAAAAACGAAAACAGCCCAATTGTATGCACACCACGAACCAGACCACCCCACAAACCGGCAACTCGGAGGTGGGCAACCCCCCAAGTTTAATTTTTGCAGAAGCCGCGAGCGAGGGGTGGAGGCGCAGCGAGGTCGAGGACGTGGGGAAGGCCGTGCGGAGGGCGAGGACAAAAGGGCGGCTGTGTTCGTGGGGGGGCTCCGCAGGAGCCCCCCCACGATCCCCGCCCTTTTGTCCCGCCCGGAGCCAGCCTTCACCACGTTCTCGGGCGAGCGTGCCTCCAGCCCGAAGCTCGCAAACCCACAACAGAGTTACCCACGAAGGGAGTTGTGGGCACCCACACCATTTGCTTTCAAAACACCCTTTGCAGATTGCACGGGACCTTGACCTCGGAGGTCGCCGATCGACCTGGCGTGACATTCCGCCTGGTTTTCCGACCGGATCGAGATTATCTTGAATGGAAAAGAGGGAGCGCGCGAGGGGTGGGGTGGGGGCGAGATGGCGGGAGGGACGTTGCCGGCGGACCTGTTGTCAAGGCAGGGGTAGTCAGTGGGTGTCGTGCCGGCCAGCCGCGACGATGAACGCGACGGACGCCGAGCTAGAGTTGTCGGTGGCGGTGCCGATGGGCGTCGCCATGTACCTGCTCAGCCTCGTCACCGTCGTCGGCAACGCGATGGTCCTGCACGCCATCCGCACCGAACGACGCCTCCAAACGGTCAGTTCACGCAACTCGACAAATTTTTTAACTTTACAACTGAGATGAATACATAAAAATTACAATTATTTTTTTATTAAAAATATTTCTAAATTTCCTTGCTTTCAAGAACGTGACATTAAATTGATTAGCTCTGATTTTAATGAATTCAATAATGCATCCACGCTAATTGTATATATAAAGCTGCGTTTGCCACTCCTGATTGATTGTTGAACTTAAACTTTTATAAAGTAATCAAGTTTTCAAGTAATTATTTATAAATATCAGTAGAAATAGAAATTAATGAAACGGAAATAGTTTTTCTATTGGTCATGAAATTGTTTAATTAATATTCTTATTAATTGATCAGAATGATTGTTTTTATCCTTGAAAATTGTGTAATGGACGAGAAAATGTCAAAAGT